GACGGACTTACCAAGATGATAAAAAATATAGATTTTCACTGCCATTAATCTGGTTTGATTCAACAGCAGACTCTAGATATGAATCAAGAGGAGCTTTGCCACAGCTTTAAGCGCTTTTTTTTAACCTGTACGAAATAACTATCGCTTCATGATTAGTTATACCCTTTGACGATATTCTGACACAATCAAGGTATTATTTTGAATGAACATTTTTACTTAATGTCAATGAATTCAAGCACCTTTTGAATTCTTGCTTGAATGGAAAGCACATCATATAGAAGTTGTATCACCTATTTTATGTTTTCATAACTTTTTCTCGGCCTGGATCTCATTGCATTACGTATACTGGTGTAACAATTGTCTTAATAAAAAGTATATCAATTGCTGATCATTTTACTCACCATCGCTACCCATTTCCGGCTCACCTGCCAGTTAAATTTTGTCTTAGTAGAAAAAAAAAAGAAAATGGCTACTCTTCCGCTTTGTTTTTTACATAATGTTCAACAAGTCTCGATAGTTGTGCACCCTACTAGAAAATTATTCCTATACTGACTCATTCCGCGGCAGGTGCCTCGTGTCTTTAGGCGCCATGTCTGTCTTGTACCAAACAATTCAAGAAAATGCTTACACGGGACCGGAAATCTATAGCTTGTGTAATCACGTCCGCCACGAGGCTGTGACATGCTTACTCGAGCTAAGAAAACAACTATCCCAGATCTTGTTAATAGACTACATGTCTATCGCTTTACCTTGACAAATTCCATGTCGTAACGTAGGTAAGCTTGCTTTTAACACTACTGCTTCGTAAGAAGTGTTGCATAAGAAGCTGGAGGAAGCAAGCAATCCACGTGCCCTAAATAAACCACCTATAATATGATCTTTTCTTTCAGCCCATTATAGTGTGAAAATCTTCTTTAGAACATATAAAGTAGGTATATAAAGATGGTGATCATATTTATTTGTTATATACATATATATAGCGCAAGAGCATTTTGACAGAATTACATATTAATTCATTCTTATCTTAGAATATTTTCCTAATTATTAGATATTTCGGTTTTGCATTAACTCGGTGGTATTTTCTTGTGGTATTATATTTTTACTCAATAATACTGCTTGATACATTTCAAATACTGATTACTCTTCAATGTCACGTATGATATTTAGTGTTGAGCAGCAATTATATTGTTTGTAATTATTTAAGATTAAGTGATTAGGTGACTGACATTGATCACAACATACTTGAGTTATTACACACAACATATTTGGTTTATGACACACAATGTACTTGAGTTATGACATCGACGAAGTTCGATACGAGGGACAGTGATAAAGAAAGCTTAGTCAATAAATACGTATCATATAAGGCTGATGCTTAAATTTATCATAACGATGTCTCGACAATATTCTATACTGCCGATAACATGAAAGTTATATATGTATATCTTAATGAATACAATTATAAGAAATTGTTTGCGTATTTTGATATGTCAAACTAAAACGCATTAATTTTCTACATTTATATATATGTATGTAATATGCTGCCAACGGCCACACCCGTGGAAAGTTAGTTGGGTATATTTGGTAAAACTAGATTGACTTTTTTTTATGGTAACAGGTAATTATACAAGGATAAGTTGCTTGACCTCGAGGCTTTTTTGTTCTATATATTCTTTCACCACGCCCCCAAAGGATAAGATGATATTATCTTTAGGTGCGCTTAAACAGGCTGTAGATAAATATTTCAGTGAACTTGAGAAAATACGAAATGTGAAGCATTTATACCAACACCCACTTGCTTTACGGAGCCATCTTGTTTTTTGGATTGAGGTGCCATAGCTGTTATCATATAATAAATGAAAATAGAAGAAGTTAACCAAGTGATTACCTAAAGAAGCGTGCAGTGTTAATGGCAGAGGTTAATTGTGTGTTAAGGGGCACGTGGGCCCGCAAATTGGAGAAAATTGGCAGTTTAAAGAGAGGAAGTTAGCAGGGGTCGGGCGTCAACCGAGGGTAGCTCACCGTGAATCGGCTTACAGACCTGTGGGATTCCTTGAGAGTCTCACAAAAAAGGATGGAAGTACGCATCGTTACAGTCGGAATGGTTTACTGAAGAATTTGACCGTTACGTTGAGAACTTTAAATATACGTGTGTGTTTAAAAACATTCTGAAAAAGTCGTAATCAACATTTAAGCTGTTTCCTGTATGTAAAGAGTTAAGAAGAGCAAATCGACTTACTTTTCTGTTTCCTGCAAAATCTTTATAAAAGAAAAAGAAACAAGATGCTCTATGAGAGCGCATTGCCTGTAAGAATGCTTTAATTTTCCCTACTTCAATTGGCTGTAAGAATGCTTTAATTTTCCCTACTTCAATTGCCTGTAAGAATGCTTTAATTTTCCCTACTTCAATTACCTGCAAGAATGTTTTAATTTTCTCTACTTCAATTGCCTGTAAGAATGCTTTAATTTTCCCTACTTCAATTGCCTGTAAGAATGCTTTAATTTTCCCTACTTCAATTGCCTGTAAAAATGCCTTAATTTTCTCTACTTCAATTGCCTGTAAGAATGCTTTAATTTTCCCTACTTCAATTGCCTGTAAGAATGCTTTAATTTTCCCTAATTCAATTGCCTGTAAGAATCCTTTAATTTTCCCTACTTCATTTGCCTGTAAGAATACTTTAATTTTCCCTACTTCAATTGCCTGTAAGAATGCTTTGATTTTTCCTACTTCAGTTGCCTGTAAGAATGCTTTAATTTTCTGTACTTCAATTACCTGTAAGAATGCTTTAATTTTTCCTACTTCAATTGCCTGTAAGAATGCTTTAATTTTCCCTACTTCAATTGCCTGTAAGAATGCTTTAATTTTCCCTTCTTCGATGAAAAAACGAGGGAAAATATTTTATATTCGCACAGTTTTTGATTTCCGCTTCTCATCATCGCAGAAAGCGAATTTTCGTTTGACAATCGAAATCAAGTCTCTCGAAAGTATTCTTCAGCTAAGAAATGAAAATATTTCTGTTTGGACTGCTATGCTAATCTGTTAAATCTATAAAAAGTCTTAGAAGTCTGTTAATTTTATGACTGTAAACCTTTGAATCGGCGATGAGGTCGATCCCACCAACTTTTTAATCACATTTTTCTAAACTATTTATTCACCACAACGCCTTGTGGGTCCATGCCTGGTTGGTTAGAGAATCCACAAAAAGGTAATATAAATACCATCAATATTACAATAATTTTCACTGATTGCTGTACCTAGAAAATGAGTTATTTCACTTAACATTTTAGTCACTTTTATACAGCTGCCAAAAACATAAACATACTTAATATGTAAACCTCATTAGCAGTATGATAACAGGATACTGTCCACTAAAAATGCTGACACAACTAGCATTATGATAACTCAATACTGTGTATTAAGAATGCTGACGTAATAGGCATTGTTAAAATCTCAATACTGTGTATTAAGAATGCTGACATAACTGGCATTATGATGATTCAATACTCTGCATTGAGACTCCTGGGGTAAATAGTGAAAACTGAATACTGTGTATTAAGTTTGTTGACGTAAATAGTGAATATTGTGTATTAAGACTGCCATCGGCTAGCTGAATATCCTTTGAAAAGTTTGTTCATTGATGTTTATATACATTTTTTATTAACATTAGCCCAGAAATGTTGTTTAAGTTATCTATCACACAGTTAGATCTTAGTGGAGCTACCTGAGAAAGTTTACACCTATCCAATTAACTGCGAAGTGCATATGCTTAGTATTGATTAGCTTTAACACCTACTTGTTCAGATAACGTTTTGATTGGTGTTCAATACAAATCAGATAGTGTTAAAAAGATAGAGATCTATGAAGTGCTCTAATCAAGAGATTCGAGATTAAAATATCAACTAGCAGGAGGCTTCAGTTGGAGAGAAGCCCATTAGAGGGAGGGCCAGTTCCCATGTTTGATAAGGGTTTTTAATCAAAGTCATGTTAAACCCCATCAGACTAACTAGATACCCTAACTTTTTGGGGATTAATCCAAATGACGAGAATACCGATACTTGCTTAATATGATAGTTTCTAAGATATTTAACCGCTTAGTAAGCTATTACACATACAATGAAAAATTTCGAAAAGAAGAAAAAACTATAATTGAATTGTAAAAGTGATGAAACGTAAAAGAATTAGAGTTAATGAAAGAATAATTTTCATATAAAACTCACAGCTGTTAATTGGATAATATGTTTCTAAAACAAAGGTTGAGTCTCTAGCTCTTTGAAAATAGATATATTAGTATTTCCCTTGCTTGACGTCCGATTGATTGGACTCACTTAAAATTGAATTTATGGAGACAGCTGTTGAAGAGGCTTGATTAAGATATGGTGGCAAGACGTTCGAGAAGGTGGGCACAAAGCAACATATTTCACTTCCAAACGAACGTTAATGATGGCATCCCGTGAAGCTGCTTACTGTTTTTAAACCACGAGAAAAGCGGGTTGAATTTAACCTAGGGAAAACTTGAATGTTGTTAGAAAGTCTGAAGAAAAAGCCCTCGATATGATACCAAACATTCACATTTGTTTACTTTCATTGCAGAGTGAGAAATTGTCTCCAATGTCACAAACTGTTTTACCTTTCCACATTGTAAGTGAGAATTATATAACACACTGATTCTAACTACATATTTTAAGTACTTCAGACAACCACTAATCTCCAGAAGGACATACTTCTACGAACATTACACATGATTGTTTTACATCATTCAATCCAAGACCCTTATGTTTTAACCTGCTAAACAAAAGTGGCAAATTTTGTAAGAATAAATTACTAAATTTTGATGTTGTATGTTGTTTCTGTACTGACTAAACTGAAAAGAATATTGTTACTTTCAGATATTTTATAGTTGTTTCTGAACAGCTTAGGACTGACTAAACTGACAATAATATTGTTACTTTCGGATATTTTTAAGTTATTTCGTACTGCCTAGGACTAAACTGTTACTTACTTTCGGATATAAGACGTTCTCTGATTTCCCATGCAAAAATCGTGGGATTCTCTCGCTTGTATTGTTCGATTTTAGCCACTACGGTAGGGGTCGCTACTTTCGGTTTACTTCCTCCTATGACACCTGGACGAAGAGACCCTGTTTCGTAGTATCGTCCTGTCACAAGAAAGATGTAGAAGACACTTACTAGTCAGAAGCTTTCATTTTTATTATCACAGAGCCGATCAGATAGGCTGAAAAGCTTACAAATTAAAGATATATACAAGAACGAAGTAATTTGGCATTCTGGAAATCCACCAGGGTTAATTTCAGATCTTTATCATTGTTTTAGTCATACGTGTTCAAGACATTCATGGACATTTGTCGTGAACAAAAAAGTTCCTTTTCCTTCAAATGAGTCAGCTAAGTACTAATTACTGTAAAGAATCTTGTCCCAAATAAATATTTGGTATTTAGTGTTGAAATTCTATTATATCAATGATAGTATTGATAGATTGTTTAGGCAGTGTATTCATGATGAAACTTTGTAGAATGGACGGCAACTGTCTGTTGTAGAAACACAAATGTAGAAGACGATATTTCGAAAGTCTTCCGTCACCAGAAGATGAAAGGCGGAAGACTTTCGAAACGTCGACCACTACGCTTGTGTCTCTACAACAGACAGTTGTCGTCCATTCTACAAAGTTTAATCATCAATAACAACACTTTTTTTAAATATTCTTGTTCTACAAGCCCATTGTTGTACAAAGTTCATGTTAATTCTAGAACAATCTTAATTCACGATGCTTCCTGAATGGGAAGTTTCTTTGAGAGAAAATATAATTGAAGCCTTAACTCATTAATAATTTATTTAGTTAAGGTTTCGGTTTCTGTAATTATAAGCTTGTTATTGTTTCTTTGTCGATTAACCATTTTATTTAAATCTTCTATTTACAATTATACTATGAAAATCTATATAAAATATTATTTCAGCATTATTCTTTAATCGATTCATTAGATAACTTGGTAAGCAAAAATATAAAAACAAAAATGATCGAATTACGTGTCAAGCTTGTTTCCTGTTATTCATCACAAGACAGGTTTGAAAATTATATATACCTACAGCGTTATTTTCGTTGTTTTAATGTGTGAACATTGAAAGAAGGAAAAACACGAATATCCACCCCAAGATCTTGAAAAGCAAGCTGACGATAAGTGGTTACTACAAACCAATTTTGATGATAACTTCTTTTGGAGCAACAATGAATAATAATCATTCTTGCGGAAACATAAGTCAACGCTGTACCTCGAAAATTAGTAGAGGTTGAATGGAAATTTAAAAATATGTATCGTTTCTTTTACAATTGTTCTATCTCTATTAGTTTTGATTAATGTGTACACAAAGTTTGTTTGGTAATTCTGCACTTTTAAACCTTGAGAAATCAGTTGTCTAAAAATTGGGTTTTTAGAAAAGAAAACTCAATAAGGCACCACCTAATTCTAAATTTCTATTTGATCATTTAAAATTTCTAAGATTGTCTTAAATTGGCGCTTACACAGAATAAATACACAATGTGATTGGAAACGTTGAAATATTAGGTCGTCAAGAAATTACTTCGCTTTTTTTAGATGAAAAAAACCCAAACAAATTATATATATATAAAAACATTTATTAAATTAAATAGTCTCCATTCTTATTGATGATGCTTTTCCATCTTACAGTCAGGTTGTTAATGCCCTGATTAAAGAAATCACTTGGCTTTGAAGAAAAAAAACATGTCGATGTCCTCTTTAACACCTTCCATATTTGCATACGTTTTCCAATTAAGATGGTGTTGCAGCGAACGAAAAAGATGGTAATCTCATGGTGCCATATCTGAAGAATATGGTGGGTGGGGGAGAAATTACCAACCCAACTCCATAATATTGTGTTGCGTCAAACGTGCCACATGTGGATGCGCATTGTCGTGGAGAAGAAGAACACCTTTCCGATTGACGAGTGAATGGAGTTTCTGATGAAGGGCTTGATTTAAACGTTTCAGTTGCTGACTATAGATCTCTGCATTGACAGTTCGCTGTGGATTTAGGAGTTCGAAATGAATTACTCCTTTGGTGTCCCACCAAATGCAAAGCATCACTTTCTGCAGATGGAGTCCAGGTTTTGGGGTCGGAAGTGGTTTTTGTCTAGGACTGAGCCATTGTTTTTGGCATTTAATATTCGCATAGAGAATCCGTTTTTCATCACCGGTGACAATTATGTCTAAAAATGGTTCACGCGCATTACGCGCCAGAAGAGACGAAGCAACGTTCACACGTAGGAAACGATGATCATCGGAGAGTTCGTGAGGCACCTAAACACCTTCTTTATGGTGTTTTCCCATATTCCTTAGATGTTTGCGTATTGTTTTATGAGAGACATACAATTTCAGAGCTATTTCACGAGTGTGTTGCCTTGGATTAGACTCAACAAGTGTCTTCAGAGCATCAATATCAATTCCAACATGTCAGCCCTTGCCATCACAGTTTTTAAGGCTAAAGTCACCTGAACAAAATTTGCTGAACCATCGTTGACACTTACAAACGTTCAAAACTTTTATATAAACTTCTTTGATATTCTTTGTGGCTACAGAGGCGTTGTTTTCCTTTTTGTATTCAAACATCATTACATGCTGAATGTGTGTGTTTCGTTGTGTACCATCACTATAAGGGATTAGAGTACGCTAAACTTTACACATTATATAGGCTACATTAACGTGACGTTTAGGCGGTATGTTTAACTATTATATGTGATGTAAGTTGTTGTTGTTGTTTTTTTTGGGGGGGTAATGAAAGTGTTCTAAAACACGACATTAATTTCTTGATGACCTAATACATTAGCTGGGGTTACCTGTTAAGAAATCACGAACTGTGTAAAGGATAATTTCAGATGTTATTCCCGTTCTTTCCTCTGGTATCAAATCCCTAATGACCTCATTAGATACTAATTGTACTAATTGTATATCCTGCTTTGTGAAACGTAATAATTAACTCATTTATATAATTAGGTACTTGTGCTTGAAATTCAAAGCCAAAAGTCTATAAAAAGTGGAAATAACAAGAAAATAATAACGCTGCCTTTACCTAATTATAAAATATTCGTTGACTTTATGTATGTCGTCTTTACAAACTGATATCTTTACGATGCCATTTATTAAATCATGTCCTTACAAAAATATATCTGATCAGTTAAATATACCAGAATTTACTTACCAAATCAAGTGTGTGTGTAACTAGAATATAAATCAATAATTTCCTTGTAAATGCTTGGCATGGCCAAGTGGTTAGGGCGCTCGACTCGAAATCTGCGGGTCACGGGTTCGAATCCCCGTCACAACAAATATGCTCGCCCTTTCAGCCATGTGGGTGTTATAATGTTACGGTCAATCCCACTATTCGTTGGT